ACAGCAGCCACTTTTTCGCCTACCGGAGGACTTTTCAGTGGCCTGCAGCCAGCCGCCGGCGTCTTTGAGAGCCGCTTTGCAAAGAGGCGGCATGAGAGAATGGCGGTCGGGCGGGCAGGGTGAGCAACTGACAACAGGGGGACTGGTTCGGGAGCATGGTCAGCCAACCATTGCTACCGGTTTGCCGAACTGGGCAAAATTTTGTCACCGGTTCAGATGAACCAGTGCAAACCTGCTAAATACCACCTCTGAACTTTCAACTAACTTTTAGGTAAAACCTTAACTGATCCCCATAAATTTTTGCCAAATTATTTTCTATCTTTCAGCTTAAATTGTTGCACACAACTTATAGTCATTATTCAAAAATCATGTCTGCAATTTCTTGCTGAAGTCAAATTTTGTCTCTCTTTAGGTATTAATGTTATATTAGCCTCTTTCTGGATCTCTGGCATTTTTCCTGCCTGTAGAATAGAATCCATCATGTTTTGTAAAGGTTGTAAACGTTCTTTCCTTAAAACACGTATAATACAAACTCGATAGTCCATCTGGTCCAGGCATCTATCTTAGTTTACACTTTTCAGTTGCTTGTGAAACTTTCCTTATTATTATAGGTCCTGTTATAATTTCTCTTTGTTTTTTGTGGGTTCTCCATCACTGGAGGTTTTCAAAAATAGATTGGACAACCAATTGACCAGGACAGCATAAGGTCTTCTCTTGAGCAAGAGGTTGGATTAGAAGACCTCTAAGGTTCCTTCTAGCCCTATGATTCTACGTTCTATGCTCCGTTGTAATTGTTGGTAAATTTTGCTTTATAAGCTATTCATCTATTTTCTCCAATGGGATATAGTATCAGTGTCAAAATTGTAATCATGTGACCATAAGTGATTGAATTGAATTGAATTGAATTGAATTTATTGCATTTATATGCTGCCCTTTTCCCCGAAGGGGACTCAGGGCGGCTAAGGGGACTCAGGGCTAAGGGATTGTGTGATGGTTGTGAGTAGTGAATAGTGGAAGTGGAAGTCACTTATTCTGAGGCTGTCACAACTTTAAACTGTTCTTAAACAAATGGTTATAAGTCAAGGACTACATTGTATTCCAACAAATCTACCATATTCATCATTAATAAAAATCCTGGGTTTAATTGAGGATTAATATATAAAATGACTCCATTTCTTTTTTTTAAGCTGTGTCAAAATAAATTCTTCACTTAAGATTTTATAGGTCAAATATTTTATATATATCTACATATTTTTCCTGGTATAAGTCTCTTGTAGGCAAATAATGTCTTACTTTCCTTTTTTCCAAATAATGAAATATTTATTTCCTCTTTTGAGGAACATTTGCTCCATTTATATTCCATCTTGCAATCCATATTTCAGCCCCAAATTTAGGAAAGTCCACATCTGTAGGCACCTAATTTAGTAATATATTTTTCAATTCCTGTAGTTTAGTGACTGTTACATAGTTTCTTCTGAAGCCTCCATTTCCATCTCCTCCAATTCTCATTTATATCTTTCTAAAAAAACTCTTATCTTCTGAACTGAATTCATTCTAAATCTCTATTGAAAAGTAAAAATGATGCCTTCCAATTTATTCCACTGAAATGGGATCCTTTTCTCTTTTAAGTTTTCAGCCAAAAAGGTACATTCTTTTCCCTTACACAGAATTCTAATAAGAATTTCTTTCATAACAAATATTGAACTGGGCATGGCTAGTCTAGTGAAGAGAAGGACCAGAGGACACATGATAGCAGTGTTCCAATATTTGAGGGGCTGCCACAGAGAGGAAGGGGTCAAGCTATTTTCCAAGGCACCTGAAGGCCAGGCAAGAATAATGGATGGAACAAGGAGCGATTCAAGCTGGAAATAAGGAGAAATTTTCTGACAGCGAGAGCAATCAACCAATGGAACAGCTTGCCTTCGTCAGTTGTCGGAG